TTCCATGGATTTAGTCACAGTCGACACAGGTTTGCTCTTGGGCATGAGTGGGTTTTGCACAAGAAAACCAAGAGCCAGCTAACTTCTAGGATGGAGTTGCCATTATTCCTACACAGTATTTATTTTTAACCACATTTATTCCTGACAAACAGTCATCAGCTTTAGCATTTAATGAGGCTGAGATGCGAGCCATTAGTGTACCAATGAAATGCTCACTAATAGTCGTCAATCTCTCCAGTGCCATAGACCATCTGTTTTCTTTAATAGCCATAGGTCACAGTGTTCCCATCAGCTGCAGTAGATGTTCTTCATTTTAATACAGCCTTCATTTAATGTACAGTGGTTTAAAATATTTGATATTTTTATTATTGTTATTATTATTTTTATTATTGTGTTGTTTTACAACCTGGAATTTTAATGAACTTTCAGTTCATAAGTGATGGAACTAGACAAAATGTTCCAAATTAATGAAGTGAAATGGGGACAAAAACTAATTTAAATAATTCTAAAACTATATAAAACAGAAAAATGCTGTCTGCATAACTATTCAAACCCCTTCACTAAAAAGTCAATACCTTGTGGAGCAAATACCTTTTTTATGTTTTTTCAGAATTACTCTAAAACGTCACTCATTTCGGTTCATTGCGTAGGCCCATTACTATATTCTAGCAAAAAAAAAAATGCATTTATATTCCAAATTGTTAAGAAACAAAATAAAAAATAAAAATGCCTGCTTTTCAGCTTTTAGCAAGTTTATTACAACTATTATCTGTGATTGCAAAGTTTATTTAAGGTTAATATTAAAACTAACCACAACAAGAGAACATAAAATTGACTAGTATTGTGCTAAAATTACTTGCAGACATAATTTCAGACAGTATTCCACATAAATTAGACATCCAGTTTCAACTTTTCTGTGTTTTATTGGGAGATTAGAGGACACGGACGTGATGCGTTTGGTAGTTGTCTGCAGAGGAATTGCATTCAGGACAGAGAGAGTTCATGCATGAGGGAAGAAAACCCTGAAAACTGATAAATTACTGGGTCAATAGTCCACACTGCCCGCCTGCAGGGAGAATACAAATCAGAGGGAACATGTGTGCTGACAATAATGTGTTTTTTGCACATCCAAAGCATTCATGCATACAGAACGATTCAACTACTAAGTTTAAACATCCATAAATATTTATCAGATTTCTCTTCATTATGTAAATAAGTAACATGTAAGCTGAAAGATTTCCTTATAGATTTGCGAGAGGGTGATGCATTAAACCAAATACATCATGTGCAGCTCAGATCAGGGCATGATGTTTTACTTCCTATATACTGTTTGGAGGTGTGTTTGTGTATGTTTGCTATGCCTTGAGTCCCATTAAAAGCAGCTGCTCATTTGATTTTAGTGGATGAAAATATCTTGAAGGCAATTCTCCTACTGTGTCTGTAAAGTACTAAATTATGTTTGGAGTGTCTGAGCCTGTGACTGATTACAACCCTGTCCTTTACACGGTGGCATTTCCATCTGTCTCTAGCGTGTGTGACATGGTATAACTGTGCAGTGTGTGTCTGTCTGTGAGTGTGTGTGTGTGTTACTAGTCCCAGCCCAGGCTGAGGTTGGTCTCTTACTAACCCTCAGAGGAAGAGTTTTGGTAACAGAAGCACGTTTGTGCCCCTGTGTCTCATTTGCATTGTGCTGATGGGAATCTGCTCAACCTCTGATTGTGTTTGGTGTTCTGGGTCAGCACACACAGATAAGTCTGTGGAGATGGAAGTGTGTCTTTACGAAATGAGTGTGTGGTGCGTGGATGGGCTCAAAGACTGATAATGGTTCTTATTGGTTTTGTTCGCTTTCGTTTCTGATGTGTTTGTGTTTTTGTCAACATGCAGACAGTCCTGACACGTCAGGTAGAAGCTAAAAGTATGCCTGCTACATTCTTCGTAAAAAAAATCATCTTGAACATCAGAATAAAAGCCAAACAGAACAAAGAATTGATGAACAAGTTTTCAATTCAATTTAGGATCTAAAATTACCATAGGTAAGAAATAAATAAATAAATAAATAAATAAATAAATAAATAAATAAAGCCAATACGTCGTTGTTTGTTACATCTCATCACTGGAGAGAACAATGCACAATGTAACACAAAGAGCCAATAAAGATGGCTTTGTGTTTATACAAGACAGGAAACTTTGAAAGATCTATTTCTAAACAGCTACAGGCTCCAAGATCATCAATTCAAACATTTTTAAATAAGCACAAGTTACTGGAAAAGTGTAGCTGCTTTGAAAGAAGAAGGTTTGAAAGAAGATCACAGCTGTCATCATCAGCTGAAAGGAAACTGGATCAGAAGAGAGACCGTTGTACTGGTCTGCCACAAAGTGGAAGCTACAGGAACACCAGTGTCTCTGTCTTCAGTGCTGTTTACAGGCCCTGTTCTGCTTCTGCTGTCTTGGTTTAATGGTTTTGTGTTACCTGGGTTTTTCTTTCGCACTTTGCCAATTTGTTGTTTTTGTTGAGCTAAACTTGTGTTCCTGGATCTGGGAATGACGTGACACCCAGATTCATCAGAAAACTGTTCAGAAAACCAGCAAGATTTGCTCGTTGCTGTGTTCCCTTAGGCTAACACGTCTAGTAACAAAAGTAGTACAGTGCTATGTGTGTAAAATAAATTTATGATAACCGATCCAACATAAGTAAAAAAAAATAAAAAGTTTATTACTGCAGCTGTCATCAGTTTTTATGCACACGGCAGCCATATTGGATTTTGAGGTTGTGCTCGGTCAGGAAGCTTTTCCCTGACTTTCACTTTCCGACATCTTCTGAGGGCATTCCATGTCAGTTTTCCCAACTTAGAACTCATAAATTCAGACTTCCCTGTACAAATGGAAGACAACATAAATAACCTCCCTCTGTTATTGGCAATAATTCAATATAAGACATGTATAATTTATCTGTAGCGTTGCAGTTGATGATTAGATTTGTATTTTCCAGATTTTGCTCTTTATGGTTTCAGAATTCCAGCTTTTCTGCTGGATATGATGCCTGCCTGTGCCATCACAGTGTCTCTGCAGATGTTTCCTTTTTGCTGTTGGTGTAAGTTAATCTTAGATTCATCTGTCAACTCCAATTGTTTCTTGCAGTTTTTTTTTCTTTTCTTATGAAAGACTCGTCTGGTTTTTCTATTTTGGAGGTTTGCAGCTTGTGGTGAGCCCTCTTGTTTTTGCTCCCGTAAAGTCTTCTCTTTGTGCAAGACTTGGATAATGATATGTTTGCATCCTGGAGGGTGTTCTTCTCTTAGCTGCATGTTGCGAATATGTTTTTCCTACAGTCATCCAACACTCATGTCTTCCGTTGACGTTTATGCCTCATTTATGCAACTGAGCTCACCACTGTTCTTTTTCTTTTTTCTGAATGTACCAAACGCTTGATTTGGTCCTTCTTTTAACAACAGGCTAAATCACTCTCACGTGTAATCGTGTTGTGCGTGTTAAAGTGCCTTTGTCAAGATTTGGCTTTTTCTGTCCAAGTCATCACACATCTGTTCTGGAAACTCTTAACGTTCGCAGAGCTCAATCTGAACAGCGTTGGCCTTAATAACAAGAAGCATTCAGGCAATATCCCGGCTTATCAAGGAGCTGCTGCTCACAGGAGATAAGATCAGCTCCACTTGTCTCCAAAGATAAATTGTGTCTGTGATTGCTCCTCTTATAATCTTCAACACACACATACATACACACACACCCAATGGCATTATCACAAAAGGCTTGTTGCCCCAAAAACAGAGATTTAATCTTAAATTGAGTTTAATTTTGCAAAATAATTAAAGTCTTTTCAATAAAGTGAAATGATTAGGTCAGAGGGATTATGGATCTTTTTATTAAGGCACACCAGAAACTGCTGAACCATCCTGACAAGTGACATCACATTTGATGTCAGTGCTTTGATAATTCAACCTGCAGGTGACTGACAAACAAAAGAGTGAAAGAATTTTCTGTGCTACAGACGCCGATGAATTTGTTCAGACTTCTTTTTGTCGAAGAAAGAAAAACTCACAACGATCATTGAAATGTGACAACAGGAACAAGTTAAACTGAGGTGTGTCCTGTAATTACAACCACAGGTGTCTTCAGTCTTGTAATCAGTCAATCTGCCTTTATAAGAGGAGTGGACACAAATACCTGTGGACAAGTGGTGAAGTCTCAAGGAGAGTTACAGAAATCCCTTGATTGCCTGAAATTGCTGTGCCACCAAATATTAAAGGTACTCTCTTATAGAAGTTAGTTTTGTTTTTGTAATTCTGGTGAACAAAATTCAAGTAATGACTGGTTTTTAGTAGTTGATTCACTATATTATTATCGTCCTGATGCATCTCAGTAATCCAGATATAAAAATAAAAATAATAAAAAACAATTAAGTAGGTCCTCTGGGTGTATTTTTAATGAAACATTTTGTCTCTCCTCCAAGAAGAACCCATCTAGAGGACCTACTTAATTGTATTATTATTATTATTATTATTATTATTATTTTATCACGTCTGAATCTGTTTTCTTCCATCACTGTATTGGAATGGTTTTATCTCCCACCAGGCGTGAAAGTTAGGGTTTTGTTTTGTTTTGTTTTTGTTTTGTTTATTGTATTTTTTCTTTATTTTCTTTCTTTATTTTCTTTCTTTATTTATTTGTTTGTTTGTTTGTTTGTTTGTTTTTTTGTTGGTAAAGCCCGGACTCCCTGGAATAAAACGATGTAACGCTGTAAGCATTTAATGCTGGTCGCCTGCATCTTTAAATCAGCACCAGCTTCCCCTCCATCCACATCACACACAGGGGGACTGAGCAGCTACCTTACAGAGTCATACGCACACACACACACACACACACACACACACACACACACACACACACACACAGACACACAAACCGGGTAGGAAATTACTGGAGCGAGAGAGAGTGCAGCTGATGGGAAGGGAGGGAGAGAGGGAGGTTGGAAACAGACGCACGGTGGTGGATTATTTGGGTTGCAGCCGCGGTGGATGTTGTGCAGGCAGACGGCGGACGGACTCAGAGCTTGAATCTGTCCATGCTGACAGCGAGGTTTTATTATTATTAATATTTTTTAATGACGGTTCCCTGCAGGGCTTTTTGAAATGGTAAGCACATGTCTTGTGATTTTTTTTTCTCAGTGCAGTTTTATTGTGTGATTGTTGACAGCAGCTTCAACTTCTTCTGACAGTCCACAGCAGTGATACGCAGCTGTGCTTCCCGCTTCTCTGTGTGGATCTCTGCCTTCTTAGTTTTATGACTGTTTGAGAAAAATGGGAAAGGTCCTCCTGAAACATTTTTGGGTCAAACGCAGCTGATAACAGTTCAACCCAGTCAAGTCTACTTAATATAATATGTCATTTACTGTCTTTTTCCCAAGTCTAACCTTTCGTCTCATTCCTTGTTTTCTGTCACAGAACATATTGGGGTCTAGTTGTGTTAATCTGTAAATTGCATTCCTGTGAGATGCAAAGAGAGATTATTATTATTGCAGTTCTTGGTGCTGTAGGGTGGCCCCTTGAAATGTCCTTTTTTAAGGCTGATAAGAGATTAAGGAGGCTTGGTTTTCACTGGGGCTGCCTACTCAGAGGTATTTTCTCCTGACTGGACCCGTGCTGCAGACTGGACGGCCGTCTAATGGTGCATGCAGACACTGTGAGGCAGTCAGTTGAGTCTGTTTTGAGTGGGCTCAGTGAATTCGTCCAACGGGATGGATTTCACTGTGTGGGTTCCACGCCGCCAGGCTCGTGTCCAGTCTATCTGAACAGATTTGAAAATAGCCTAATAGGCTATTGTTCCTCTGAACTGCTTTCAAAGGAAGATGTGGTGATTGCATCCTATTTTTTTTTTGCTGCTGTTTGGTGTCTTCCACGCCACCGCCGTAACTCAGTGACCGTAATGTGCTGTGTGTGTCAGTGTGTTTGACAGCAGTCAGCAGTCTCGCTCAAAAGCTGTCTGTACGGCAGCATTACGTACCTTGCCGGCTTACAAATCAATCTTGCAAGTATTCCTAGCAGCAATTAGGTGTGAGGGAGCGAGACACTCGTATGGAGGCGAGACAGATGCACCTCACAGGTTTCTTCATTAGGTGTTGCTTCATCCTATACTCATCCCTGTAGAATACTCAATCATTGTTTTTCAGGGATCAATTTTTATCCATTAAATGAGGCAGTTCTCAATTAAAACCTTCATCTCTGACAATATATTCTTAACATACATTCCCTTGTGAGTATTGCGATGTTATATCAGTTGCACAGTTTTCTCACTCCTCTCTTTCGCTTCTTACATCCCTACACTCTCAACACGTTCAATGTGTTTCACTATTCCAGCCTCATATTATCTAAATTAGTTTTTGGACAGTGGGAGTCCATCATAAGCTTGCTATATTATTGGCATCATTGGCATAATTATCCCCCGTCACCGAAGGCAAAGCAGGAGTGATATTTTGTTTCTTGTTCATGTCTGCGTTAGTGCATGTGTGTGGTTTTGTTCTTACCATTAGCTAACTATTTCATGGATCATGTTTTTTTTACACAAGATCTGTTTCAAATTTGCACTCATTATTAGCATAAATTCTGTCTATTACCAAAGTATCTTATCAACCAAAAGATTCCAATGAAAGCAAATATTAGAGCTGATTAAATGTTTAAGTCAACCCAATTCAAGATGGACATCACAGCCAAATGTTCTCGAAACCACAAAAAGGATTATATCAGTAACTCATAACTAACTTACAGCTATTGAGCTAAAACTTGGTTTGATTGATTGCCCCAAATTATTGCTGATATACTTTCCGACAAAAATTCTCGGCCTTTATTTGATTTTGTAGCAATAGTAAAGTCTTGATATTATGTATCCCTATTATTTTCCTTTGTGTTCAGAAGGAGAACCTCCTCTGCTGCTCTCTGTAGATACTTGGATGCACAATATGAAAGTAGACCACAAGCTGTTTTACGACCAGAGCCTGCTACGCTCAGGTCAGAGGTGCCTCGTCACATGCCAGTTTGTGGATGAACAAGTTTAACCCAGCTAATCTTCCAACATGCATGTGTGTTCGTGTACACATGTACATGCGTGCCTCTGCAGCTGTTCCACCTCTCAGAGAGATTAAGTTTCACAAGATGTGATGGATGCCAGTGTCGGCGGAGCCAGCTGTGAGCGAGCGAGCGCGTTTGTCGGCGCATTTCGCCTTGTCAGCAGGCGCGTAAAGCCGAGACGGGGATGTGTCTCGAATGGCCAAGTCACTGCTGGGAAGACTGGGTCATGTTAGAGGGAGAGGTGGCATTTGGGTCAGGGATGTTTTGAGTTGGGAAGGTAATTATAGTGGCCGAGCCTTTCGGTTCCCACAGACCAGGCCAACGGAGCGCGATGGCTGCCGGACAGTCGACCCATCATGCTGTGACCGGGATCCCATCAAAAAGAAAGAACATTTAAAATACACAGTGTAAATATACACAAATATAGGTATAATTGTCATTAGTCAAGCCGTAGCTCGGAGCTCCCAAAGAGGATATTTTAAGGGAGATCCTTACGATGAAAACAGTCTGTTAGAGGGAGAGGGCAGGAGGAGGCTCATTCTGGGTCTACAGTTAGCTAAGCACCCAGCTGTGGAGCCAGGAGGGCCGAGGGAGCCAGACGAAGAGCTGAGAGAAAAAGGGAAGATTATTGATTCACCTTACTGTCGGAGGGGTACAGCTCCCAATCTATCACTGGCTCTCCTTATCATCTGTGTTCACCCATGTCTCAGCCTTCTTGTCTTTTTCTCTGGCTGGAATTGAGATCGCCCTCCTCATCTTCCTTTCCCATACTCCTCCAGCTTCTCAGCCCAATCAATATTCGTTTCTGCCATCCGTTCTACTCAAATGATTTTTTTTTCTTTTTTCGCTCATTACTCACTTTTGGTAATGCCTGCCGCTGAAGACAAAAGGATGATTTTTGTTTTTTGCATGTGTTTCCCTTACCAATTATTTCATGTCTCACTGGACAAATTTTAATGAAACTTGCAGAAACTAGTTATTGGGTTGACTTCAACAGCTGGGTATTATTTGGAGTCAATCTGATTCAAGATGGCTGCCACAAGCTAACTAACCCTAAAAATTCAAAAATGTCAATCAAACAGATGTTGACCTGTAATTTGGTGTGGCAAAAACAGAACCTGATTATCAACATATTTTGAACGCTAACATCTTGTGCTGGATCTTTGTTTAAATTTCTTGTCATTAACTATTTTCAGTCAACCCTATTTGTCTGTTAGCAAAATAACTTAATACACACTAAATGGACTGTATTGAGAGTTTTAAATATATGTGTGCATCTATATGCATCTACAACTGATTAACTTTTGGAACCAAGTCATGTCAAGACACAAAAGTAGCAACTGGGGCTGCCACAAATGATTATTTTTATAATCGATTAATCACCGATTATTTTTTTTCGATTATTCGACTAATCAGATCATTTGTTAATTGAATATAAATCATAGAGCTTATTGCGCCAGAATGCAGCTGCTATTATATAACCATBGTTAGATTTTAGCTATATGCTAACTAAAAATAATTGATGTGGAAGACAAGTTCTGCTCTGCAGATATTGCACAGGTTTCTCTTTCGTTTTCTTAAAATGATCCCACACTTTTGAGCTCCGTTGTCAGGTAGCCATGATACCAGAGCCTGTCTGTATAATGTCTTGTGACGTCCACGGCATACACCGGTTACCACTACTGTGCATGTGTGTCAAGGACAGAAAGGCAGATGTGGCAGTGGAAGGTGTCAAAGCAGTTTGGAGAGAAAAAAAACAAAGAACAAAAAAAAATGACTAATCGATTATTAAATTAGTCGATGACTAATTTAATAATCGATTAGTCATTGACTGATCGAATAATCGTGGCAGCCCTAGTAGCAATACAAAAGTCTATTTTACAGAAATTGTTGTGGCAGCTGAAAGTCATGCCCAAAAGCGATCGAAAGCACTAACATATTCCAAACTTCTATGACATTGCAAATAAAGTTACATATTTTTCAGCATTACTCTATTGTTTCTTTTCAAACAAGGATGATATGGGTGATAAGCATTCCTTTGAGAAATGCTAGGCCTTTATTTATTTTCCTGGTTCCATCTATTCATCACACAGACGGCCTGTGAATTGGTAATTCTTAGCAAAGAAGCCTTTACCTGTGGAGATGAGCATATGGTGAGATATTAAAAATTCAACTTAAGGCTTTCCTCTCTTCATCTGTTCTCCACTTCGCCAGGTTTATACTCTTTCATCGTCTCCATTTTCATCACTGTGGCTCCATCTTCCTTTTTTTTAACAAAACTGTTGACTTGTTGCCTTTATTTCCTACAGCATTTTCTGTCAAAGCGATGTAATAACATTGTGAAAAAACTTTTTTGTTTGTTTGTTGCTCTGGGACACTTTTAGTGGCGTTCTGCTCTCTGTTCCATAACAAAAGACTTGCTGGCATCAGATTACCATATTTATTACACGGGTTGTGCATTAGCCTTTGTGTGTTTGTGTGACAAGGAAATAACACAAATATAAGGGGAGAGAGTTTCAAAGAGTAACAACGAATGATAGACAGAGTTTGTGTTTTTAGGAAGGAACCCCCCCCCACACACACACACACACAAACACACACACATCACCATCTAGCCAAGCTCGCACAAACTCAATAGTGTTGTTTTCCATCCCTATTTCCACACACACATAAAATCCCAGAAACAATCTGAGCTAATGTTCCACAGCATCAGCCTGAAATACTGTATATCCCTCCTTTTTATCATGCGTCACTGAAGTCGAAGATGGAGTAATAATGTTTTTGCCCGTGTGTGTTTGTCTATGTTTTTAGCAAAATATTTCCAAAAAGAAATCATTTGCTTTACATCTACAACTGAATAACATTTGGAGTCAGTCTCTTTAAACATGGTCGCCACATCTACAGAAGCTTAGCAGTCAGTTCTACTAATGTTGAGTTAAACTTCGTGTGGTAATAGTTGATAGTCATCCCTCTGAGCACAAACAGATCTCAGTGTCATAACATGACTGGTTTCAAACTGTGGCATGAAAGCTGCTGAGTTATACGCATTCCTGAAAGGAATTCAAGGCCTT